GGCGATCGTGTGCTGCTTCCCATCGATCACATTTCCCTTTCTAGGGATATGGATGTGCTGGACCCCTGGCCAACCTTGTACTTGTCCAGCACTTGTTGAATCTGGTTCTGCGTGGTGTTCCAAAGAATGTTGCCCAGGAACAAACGAGGAGGATGCTCCATGCAACTGGCAACTCTTTGCTGCTAAAATAAAAACTTTGTTTTGTACTACATGGCAAATATTGATTATGGGTGCGTCACATCTAAAAGAAGTCAATATATGTTTGCTTCTCACCTATATGCTCTGTTGATGCTGAATAAGATGGTGGAAAATGAACCATGTTTGGAGGGAATCGTGTGTCTGTTTTGTTGCCATAGTTTGCCATGTACATGAAACCGCATTTTGCTGTCGCTAAAAAACTGAGTTTTTTGTTGCCTCTTTGAACACTGCAGCGATTCAGGAACATTTCCAACAAAATTGAAATCGTATATTGCAAAACATCCGCATCTCTCAAAGTTGCTAAACTCGTCACACTCTCACTCTCATGGTTCATCCTCAAGGTTCCAAACTATATGTCATGTACAATTTCCGTTTGGTCTGAAAGATATAGATATATCTATTTGCATCACAGGTTACTTTTGCACTTGGTATGCCTATGCATTGGATGCCACTGCGTGTATTCGTGAAAGGTTCTAAAAGTGATCGTAAAAAAGCACCTTTTTGTCGTGATCTGCACCGCAAGTCAAAACCCCAATTGATTTGTCAATATGCCAAGGGTGGGTTCAAAGAGCTCCCTTTTAGAGGCTCACACCCAAAGCACACTGTATGTACCATTGGTCCGGTCTACCATCTGTATCTACCCTCATGGAGCATGAGGTTTAGTCGATGTCCTGTGGGCCCGTCGATGAAGTCTTCTCCTGTGAAACATCTGGAGGCTGAACGTTGATATCCTCTGCCGGTGTGATCTCCTTCTCCTTCTTGTTTGCCTTCGACTTTGCCTGAACCTTTTTCTTCGTATTCGGGCTTGCCTTTGCCTTGGCCTTTGAAGTCGCTGGTTGCTTTGGATGCTTTCGATCAAACTCTTCTCTTGCCTTCCTTGCAGCTGCTCTTGCCAACTCCTTGCTTTTGTCCTCATCTTCATTCTTGGCGAATTCTTGCTTGAAGGTGTTGTGCCAGGCATCTGAATCTGCTCTTCTCCTCAAAATCGCACGATCTGCTGGCTTGCTAGGGTCCAGCTGGTCGGAAGGTGGGCCCATCTTCTTTTTGCCTTTCTTCTCGCTATCGTTTTTTGTTTTCTGCATCTTCGTGGAAGCAGCCGGCCTCTTCGCATTCTGAGGTGGGCATTCATCCTCCTTGTCCTCACCCTGGGTGTGGTCAAGGGTCTTCTGCTTCTTGCACTTCTTCTCCTCCTTTCCTGGCTTGGATGCTGCTGGCCTTTTCATCTTTTTTGCTGAATTTAGCCTCTGCTGCTGAGACTTTCCACCCTTGGTAAGAGGTGGCACCTCTGCTGCCTTTTTCAAAAGATCATCATCTCCAGGTAATTTCTCCAAGCTGCAGACAAAGGGGTCTCCAGGACTGGGCGTGTCCTCTTTCTTCTTCTGGGCCAACTTCTTCGTTGGAGTTGTTGCGTCGCTCGGCTTCTTGCTCAAGATCCTGTCAAAAACACTTTCAGGCTTCTCTCCAAAGATTCTCAACTTCACATTCTCTCCGATCTCCACCTCACTGTTCCTATTTGGCCCTGACGCCAAAGCATTGCCACCTGAGGCGCCCAAATCATCCCTTGAGCTCCCTGCCCTCGAAAAACTCGGTCTACCTTGCCCTTGGTCACCTCCACGGGCATCGCCATCGTAGGGGACCATGTCCGTACAGGATTCTTGCGGGCCAAAGTCGATTTTCACCAGCAACTTTTCCAACGTTTCTTGCATCGCTGGACTGCATTTTCGGTACGTCGTATCCTTTTTCTGAACCACTTGGCACATCTGGCGCAAATGGCTTAAAGCCATGCGGATGGTGTCGTCCACGTAGTCCACGGCATCTTGAGTGGACTTGCGACCTCCAAGTATGTCATGCTGATGATGAAGCTTCTCAAGGGCTAACTTGTGCTTTTTGCCACTGATGATGGTGTTCTTTGAGATTTTGATGTAATCCGTCAAGAGCTCCTGGTGTTTGCAGAGCCACTCAATGGGAACAGCACTTTTCCAAGAAACACCAGACGGCGGCTGGATGTACTTTGCGAGGTTGATCCCTTTCTCTCGTTGCAGCAGATTTTCTACTGGCTGCATCAGGTCTGCTACCCCCACCAAGGGATCTGCGACTAAACGTTTCGGAGTCTGCGACAGCATCTTGTCTATACACCATAGCTTGGACCAATGGTCTGTGAAAAAGATGTATATCTTTCAAATGTCGTTCAGCAAATAGCTCTGTTTGATCACACCTATATCGATGTTTGATCACACCTATATACAAAATGATCCCTCACCAGAAACTCGTTTCAAAGCGACTCTCAAAGTGCAAAAGCAAATTAACTCTCACAGTACAAACTCTCAGAGTACGCAAGCAACTGACACAAGTTTCTTTCTCCAAAAACACCGTTGGTGGGATTCCATTTCGAAGAACATTATTTCAAAAATACATGTAAAAGTATCGTTTCATGTGTACTTGAATTCCTTGTTGGTTTCACAACTGGATGGTATCATTTCCTGAAAACCCTGAAGCTTGGCATCATCTCCGGTTTCATTTTCACCATGGCATCGCATCACAAGTCTTTCCATTTGGACATGGTCACGACTCTAGAGTTTTCCAAAGCTATGACTATATGAAGTCAAAACGGCCATGTTCTTGTTGCTGGCCACCTCATTTTTAAGAGTCCTCGGCATACTCTTTCATAATATTGTCTTTCACTGCCTTGGGGTAGTCGTTCAAGAAGACATCGAAAGTGTCAACTGGCACGCCAAAAGATTCATTCCACTGCACGTAGTCGTGGTACTCCACAGTAGCTTCCCACAAGCTTCTTGGGTATGGGACGCCTGCGCTGTCCACACTGTACTGCACAGTATTCTCATCCATGTTGTCATTCTTCTTGTTGACCTTCTTCGTATGGTCCTGCTCTCGGCCCTTGGACTCTCCTTTGGCGGTTCCAGGAGGCCATGGCATCAAGGGATGCTTCAAAGCAGTAGGGCCCTTGGGGTTGTCCTCATACACAGCCTTGAAGCTTTTTGGTTTCTTCTTCACAAACTTCATGTCATCTTTCATCCACACCATTGCGGGAAGCGAGGTGGGAGGCAAACAAATCTACCCTCTGTCTATGTGGGTATATTGAAAATGGAAAATGCTTCCGGTAAAAATGCTAAGTCACGCAGTGCATTTAGAACAATTTTCATGAACTCTCAACAGCTCTTGACAGTGGAAAAATGACAATATTTGCATTTTTGATGACAACACGTTCATGTAATCTCTTTGCTACACTGAAACTGTCCACAGCATGATTCATCACAAAACATTTTCCCATAACCCTTATAATGACAAACTCAAAACAGATGTAATGACTCTCCAGATCACTCAAAGTCTCTCATGGTAACTTGTAAATTCACATCGCGCTCATAGTTGGGTCTCTCATGTGGTGCACGTAGTCTCACAAGATCGCCTTCACTGTCATGAACATGTGTGAAAACAAGGAGACATCTGGGGTATGCAAAGAGGTTGGACTCTCATGGTCACTCCAGGTCTCTCACGTGGTAACTTGTACACTGACAATGCGCCCATAAGGTTCATTGAGGGTTTGTCATATGGTGCACTGATTCTTACAAGGTCCCATCTCTATTATCTGAGATGAAATTTTGTTGAAATTATATATAGTTTAATCTCCAACTTATTTATTTTCAGATTTAACCGCGCCGTGAACATGACGAAACTGCATGCAAGTGTTTTGCTAAAAGTCTCCAAGTCACGCCCATATGGAATATAATGTTCATCTGGTGAATTTATATTGAGGCAGGCATATTTTTCAGAACATGTACACTTACAGCGGTTTTCGTTTTAAGGGAAAAATGAAATAGATTGCTTGGGTGTTGTTTCATTTTTTGAGAGAAATACCTGAAAATTTTACTGGTAAGATATACTGAGGGAATATACTGGGAAACATATTATGCGAGGCAAGCCTTTTCAAACAATACTGTGAAAAGGAATTTTGCAGAGTGAAGGAATATTTGCAGAGTTGCAGAGGTATACTGTGAGGGAGTACTTCCAGAGAGATACTGCGAGGTAAATACTTTGAGAGATACTGTGAGGTTATACTTCCAGAGATATACTGTGAGGGAATACTTCCAGATAGATACTGCGAGGTAAAATATACTTTCAGAGATACTGTGAGGGAATACTTCCAGAGAGATACTGTGAGGGAATACTTCCAGATAGATACTGCGAGGTAAAATATACTTTCAGAGATACTGTGAGGGAATACTTCCAGAGAGATACTTCGAAATAAAATATACTTTCAGAGATACTGTGAGGGAATACTTCCAGAGAGATACTGTGAGGGAATACTTCCAGAGAGATACTGCGAGGTAAAATATACTTTCAGAGATACTGTGAGGGAATACTTCCAGAGAGATACTGCGAGGTAAAATATACTTTCAGAGATACTGTGAGGGAATACTTCCAGAGAGATACTGTGAGGGAATACTTCCAGAGAGATACTGCGAGGTAAAATATACTTTCAGAGATACTGTGAGGGAATACTTCCAGAGAGATACTGCGAGGTAAAATATACTTTCAGAGATACTGTGAGGGAATACTTCCAGAGAGATACTGTGAGGGAATACTTCCAGAGAGATACTGCGAGGTAATACCTGGAGATACCTGTGAGTTTCACTGTGAGGGAAAAGTTTCAGAGATACTTGTGTGAAGGAGTTTTCCCAGAGATGCTGTATAACGGAATATCTTTAAAAAAATATTGTGGGGGAATACCTTCCAAGACCTTCCTTGTGCAGTGCAGGGTTACTGTGACAGTAACCTCTTGCGAAGGTGAAACCTTCGATTGTGGCAGAATGAATCCACCCAAAGATATGCCACAGCAAAAGTTCAAATGCCATGTATGCAAGCACACAGATCGAACAAGTTCACATATACAACATAACCATGTGTGTTTCATTGTTTTGAAAGTTTTTAGTCTGAGAAAAACTGACAAAAATGATTCCAAAGAAAAAACTTCGAATAAACTACGTATAAACTTCGAAGTTAAACTTCGAACGAATCACGAGCAAACTTCGAAGGTAACGGTTGAATTTTGGCATGGTCAAAACCATGAAAGATCAACAAAATAGACAAATTTTAGCTTAATCTATTTTCAAGATTTTTCTCTATATAGATTAAAAAAACTCTCTATATAGACAAACAAACACAGATTTATCTATAATAGTTTTAAAAAAAATAATCTATTTGCAAGAAAAAAAATAAGATAATAGATAAAATCGAAATTGTCTAATAGATAGAAATCTATAGATTTTTACGATCTATCTATTTTGTAGTTTTTTGTCTAATTCGGTCTATTGGGAAGTGTGATCCAGTTGCACTGCCACTGGCAGCTTCTGGAAACCGAGTTTGGCCCAGCACTTTTGACAAATTCTGATATATTTGGCGTTGGTAGTTCTAAAGTCTAAAAGTTATCGTGTCAAAACCCTTTTGTGATGGATTTGTGATGGATTTCGAATCAAGGTTGGGGCCCCTGTTGTGCAATCCATTCGTGGAATGCTTGTTGCTCATATTCCCAAGTACCGTAGGACTATTCCTTTTCTCGGTATCAAACCAATGTCTGTTGTTCGAGATGTTCCCAATTCTTTTTCGCTGGCACCTTGTAATCCAATTCCCTCACACCACCGGAGATGTACCTCGGTTTCACCGGCGGAAAACACAGAACTTGTCTGAAGGACTGCATGATGAAACTCCGAATCTCCTTGCCTTAACCTGTTCCGAGAAATTAGTGTCATCAGTCATCAGTATGAACGCCATGTACTCTATCTCCATGGGTGATTCCCAACTCGTTTCATCTATTTTCACGATTTGTTTTCCAATCATTTGGGGGGGACACCTCCAACGCAAAGTGGAAACCCAAGGCACTCGCTCCATAGCTGCCCTTGGCCGCCCAATACCTTGGCGCCATGGCCATTGAAGCCCAACCTTAGCGCAGGCAGTTTCACTGGATGCTCAGCAACGAAGACGGGTACATACATAGATGCGGGTAAACACATATAAATGAAATTAAATGAACATGTGTAATCTGGATGAATTGTGATACTGACCTGATCTAGAATAATTGTTTCTCATGTTTTCTCATTTTGGGGTGTTCGGTCTTGACCCATAGCCAGAGATGGAGATGTTCATTTGCATATCAGTTGGGGATAAGTCTCTACATGCCTTTGGGAGAAAAATAGAAGGATAAGTCTGGTATACCTGGTATACCATTCGCATGTCATTGCTATCATAGCCTGAACAATGCGAGGCGGCCCTCCTTTTTCATTTCCCCAGTCGGACAAGGACAACACGACAGAAATGAGGACAGCTTCCAGACCAGCTTGTTCAAGGAGCTCATAGACTTTCCGCGTGTTCAAGAATCCTGGCGTGGTCGACGCAATGTCCGGCAATGCGCCGTGGGGCCATGGGGCCATGGGGCCATGGGCGGATCCAAGAAATGAAGTCATCGAAAGTCGCAAATTTTCACGAGTGGCTACAATATTTAGCAAGTACTTGTCCATGTTGCTTCAATCTCATTAAATCCCGTTTGAATTTGAGAAGATCTTGGATCACCATTTATTGGTTTAACTTAACACCATGTATTGTTCAAAACCCATAGTTTTGTTCGTTTCATCGTGGTCAGGAAACGTGAAACGACCTTTCCATGCCGTCTCTCGGGACACTGCGCCTCCAATGGCTCCGAAGGCGTCGTGGTCTCCGTGGGGACTCTGGAACTGGTCCAAGTAGGTGCCTCGAATTGGACAAATCTACTTTGCTTTTTACCTTTGCTGGTCCTTTAGTTTTTGACTTTTCACTTTTTTTACAAATGGTGGACAGAGTTGTTGTAAAATGATGTGAACATTTTGTTTGTTTTGCAGTATCTGGGGATACCATTCTTTAGTAGTTGTCTGGATATTCTTGATCGACCTTGAAAACGTTCAAAGTTCCATTCTTTAGAGTTTTTGGATGTTTTTGGGTCCGTTTTGGTCCGTTCAACAACACCAACCAGTGCCTATGGGTTCCATTCTATAGTATATAGTGATTTGATGTGATTTATGGGCTCTTTTATCCCCTGCCTATTCATGGCTGCATTAATGCCTACCCCCAAAGTTCGTACCCCCAGATCTAAATGGAAAACTGATCCTGTAATGACCCTATGTTTTCCAACCTTGTCAAAACTGAGAAGGTTTACTCTGGGAAAGGGATGTTTGTTTAATAAGGCTTATTAATAAAGGTTCCATGAATGAGCCTGTGGGCGCCAGCAAGACTTCAAATGGATCAAACCCAAATGATATGGGGTTCTTCATCACCTGCAAAAGGCATTAGTCTTGGGAAGCCTTAATAAACATCCAGGGGTTGATGTTGGGAAATTTCACCAAACGCGGGCTTGCTAAAGCCCAAAAATAGAAGAAATATAGGCATTGGATAGGGATTGGTAAGGCTTAATAAGGCTTAATACCCTTTACTACAACAGAACAATTGTTTTGAACATAGTGCCAAACGGATTGGTTCTTAATAAGGCTTAATAAGGCTTAATACCCCTTACTCCAAAGTGCACTTACCACAGGTTCTCTTTACTGAATCTGCACATCTTTTCCCATGGGCATTCACAAAGCTTAAAAACTACTCACGTTAAGCACTGCATTTGACACCCTTTACAACAAAAGGCAGCCTTCAGTCGCTCGTGGCACAACTTTCCATCTTTGGGTGGTTGCAACACATACACGACCACAACTCTCTTAATAAGAGATTTCCATCTCCACAAAAAAGCGCACAAAAGAAATAATCCTTATGTAGGCCTTGCCAAGGGGAAAATAAGGACCAATCCGTTTTGCACTTTTTTCAAAAAACCTGTCCTCTTTTAGCAAGGGTTATTAAGCCTTACCAATGCTTATCCAAGCTTTCCAAACATTAATAGTGCTTATTTACTCAAACATGGTCAACACAGATTTGCGCACAAAACCCATGGTTTTCCATTTAGATCTGGGTACGAACTTTGGGGGTAGGCATTAATGCAGCCATGACCTATGGGGGCCCATTCTTTAGGTACACAATCATCCAGTGTCATCCAGCCTTTCCAAAATCGCACCTTTTGATGTTACATATGATATTACATGTTTATAATATGTCAGTGTTTCCGCACGTTTTTTCTCTAAAAAATGGAGGTCCCCAGGGCATACCCCTTGATGTCATTGAACCAGTGAGCTCTAAAAAATGGAACTTCGTTTTTTTGGAAACACGCAACTGGTGTCTAAAGAATGGGACATTGTAAATTTAGAGGTGATCCCAGATGATAACCCCGAAATCTAGAAAATGGAACCCCGCACTTCCACCAGATCAGTTCAAATAGCGACCAATATGCCTCTAAAGAATGCATTTGGTCAAAGATGGGCAATCCATAAAATTCAGCTCTCTAGGAAATGGCGCCGCCCAGGGTCACCATTTCCTAGAGGAAACTCCAAGGGGGATGTTGGAAATATATAATATCTACTTGACTTTACATACTTTTATGTTGCGTTATGTTTTAATGTTATGTCATATGTCCCATGTGGAGGTATCCCATGCTATCCCGAAGGGGTATCTGCAGTAGCTGCATCTGCACTATCCCTATCCGCCCCATCCCATTGTGCTTCTTTTGGCCCATGGTTGTCCATTTTGGGCATATGGGCCCATCTGAAGGAAAATGGAGATACCGGTGAAAGGTCACCGGAAACAGCCGGTATGCTCTGAGGATATCATTTTCTATCAGCTATGGGGATTGAGATCTGATCTGTTCACCTTCAACCAATGTCACATCATAATTATTCATTGGAGAATATTATCACTAGAAACCATTTCCGTTTGGGATATCGTGATTTCTATTGGTTTTCAACATCTTTCAACTTTCAACCCATTCCTTTGCTGGTTATGATTAGTTAAAAGCCTACACCATGCTTTTTGTGGGCCAATATATCCCCAAACAGTTTGATATCTTGATATATTTTGATTCCCACGGTCCCCGCCAAGTGGCGATCTTTTGGACACATCACCACCGCATGGCCCTGCTGTGCCGCCTTCGCCAAGTTGTTGACGCCCATTTCGGGGCGCCAGAGCATCACCACGGTGCCGGGCGGCAACGGGACGCCGTTGTGCATCCTGAAAAGGACCACGACTCAACAGTTCTTACAAGGATTACATCGCTTTCATAACTTTGGCTTGGATCTTTCTAAAAATGACCCGTTTGACCCTCTAATTATCATGTTCTGTCCAAAAATATGGGAAGCGTTCCCGCTATGATAAGCGTTTTTTGATGCATGATTCATGGCAAGCGGCGCTTCGTCCCAGACCACCGCTCGGCGTCCCAAATGCTTCACTGCATTAATTGCCTCAAAAAACCAACAATCCAACCGCCAACACAACTCATTGGATCGATTTGCTCGAGAAAATCCACAAGAACTTCATTTGGTTTACCAACTATTACCAACCGGTTGTTTTCGGGGTGGGTGTTGTAGATTTTCCCTTAACCAAAAAAACACATGATGACTTGGTTATGATCTGGCGGAAAATGACATTGCGTTGCTTGATCAGTCTTATCTGCGCTTGCCCGTGGTGGCCACAAAGGATGTTCAAAAAAACTTCGAGGAAAGTCCTCTCTAAATGGGAAATCCAACACCATCAAAAGCAATCTCTTCATCAATTCCAATTGCTTTTTCTCACACCACAGATATTCCATGTATGTATGTATATATATATACACAGATAGATGCCTACACATATTCTATCTACTTATACAATCTTATACATAAGTGTGTGTAACACCTTGTAACACCACCCCTTCCAAATCTCACGGAATCTCCAAATGCTCCCAGCCACGTTCTGCATCATGACCCCTGCAATGCCCTCGACGCGACGCAGCCTGTGCGACGCCATGAAGTCCCGTGCCACGGTGGAGCGCGACCATTGCTTCATGGCCACTTCGTCACCGCCCACCTTAGGCAACGTTCGTATCAAATATCGAACATCGACATCGACATCATCGACATACAGTACATGATATCAATAGGGAGAGAGACAGACAGACAGACAGACAGACAGAGAGAGAGAGAGCGCGCGCATTCTTACATGATGATCGTTACAGCATTCAGAATACATGTTTGAGCATCATCCGAGTTTTCTCTGTAGATGAAGAAGGTGGAGAAGGATCCATAATGATCCATAGGCGGAATACTGACATATACAAATACACACATATATATATATATATGTGTGTGTGTACATATTATGATACTTACTATTTTACACACGCATAGCTTGTATGTACCCTTTATGAGTTTGAAGCTTTTACCATCCGTTGTAAGCGCTTCTCAAATGATGGGGTTGCCCAGGGTTGTATGGGATCAACTCACCAACCCCGCTGCCGATAACACATGGTGTCTTTGGTGACTGGGCAGCTTCCCTTTTGAGAATCCATGGCAACCGGAAACCGATAACACATGACATGGTTTACCGGGTTTACCGATAACACATGGTGATTGGGTCATCAATCCACAGAAAACATCTGATAATTCCTACACGACGCACGGCATGCCGTTGAGCCACATGAAAGTAGCGCGAGTGCACCAGCTGCGCTGTTTCTCCGATGACCTCATTGAGGCTGGAAGTCGTGACATGTGTGGACTCCTGCTATGAGCTTCCACCGTCTCAGCATACCTGGTATACCTGTTCTGCATCAAGTATACATGCATCTCATCACCTCACCAAGTCACATCGGAGATGAAATGCATGCTGGTCTCGGATGGCTTCATGGTATGCTCGAGGGCACCTACGGAAAATCGAAGGCATCGAACGCAAAGGCATGGTCTGGTCTTCACATGACATATCAATGACTCACAATTATGGAGACGTCATGACGCAGTAAAATACCCTTCCAAGACTTCTAGACGCTTCCAGACATATCTAACATGTTTTAGACATGTTTTAGACATATCTAAAAATATCTAAAACAGATCCACTGAGCTGTCGACCAAATTGGGTTGCCACCTTCGCACCGACATTCCCCAGCTCGGGGTATGCGGCCAGCGCTGCCTGGAGGCGCGACCGGTGGTAAAGATGGTCGCATCGCGGCATCACGTGGGAGAATCATGAATTTCAGATAATTGATGATTAAATATGATAAGTGATATAGCCGGTATAGCCGGATGTAAATACTCGGAAAAGGATATTAGCATGAAGAAATTGCATCATATTTTTGGAGCACTCCGCCAAGTACCTGGATGTGGCCGGGCGAATCAATCTCTGGGATGATCTCAATATGCAGCGATTTGGCATACGCAACGATGCTTCTCATCTCGTCCGCAGTATAAGAGCCTGTGTCACGTTGCTGAGTATCCCTGAAGCATTTCCCAGCTGAAGGACAAGGCCAAGAAAAAGTTTAAACACAAGACTTTGGAATGACTTACCAGCACAACCAGGTGAAACGATACAAAGCAGTAGGTAGGCATGACAGAGCTTTCAGATGAAAAACAGACAAAAACGCTTTCTCCACCTCCATAACGCACGTGGTCATGGATCGACCTGTTGTGTCCGATCTGGGTGCCTTCCCTCCAAGCTCCAACCTGACACGACGTTCGCCCCATGTCCTAAATATTCTCCTATATAAATATCTTGCACAGATCATGCTGAGCATCAGGGATTTGGCACATCCCATGAGATGATCTGTGCGACTCTCTGCCTCTGTGAGTTTTGGATATTTTTGGCTCGGAATGCGCCAGCCCTGGTCGTCAGACAAGTGCCAGTGAAAGCGGTTCATCTTAAAGGAAGCCTTAGATGCATAAAGCTGTGCTCTGCGCATGGAAAGTGGGAATTTATGAGTTTCAGCAAGTTGATGTCAAAGTGAGCAAAGGTCCAAAGCCGCAAGTACCAAGTGGGTTTGCTGCCTACTGGCCTACTGTAAGAATTGAAACGTTGAAGAGATGGGGAGCCAACAAAACGGATAAAAGTCTTGGTCCAAGTCGTCCAAGTCGTCCAAGTCGTCCAAGTCGTCCAAGTCGCCATGGTGCGCAGTAAATGTTTCACCTCGCTGGCATTGAAAAAGTGCCGGCTCACATCCAGCATCAACCCACGCCATTCATGTTGTGGCTCGTCTCCTTAGAAACGTCGCCATATCCAAGTTGATTCGGTATGGTTCATTAGTCATTGGGTTTTCAAACCCCATAAGTGCAGCAAGCTCGTCCCGACCTTTGAAACAAAAGAACACATTTCTTGCTCAGGAACTGATTTTGACCTGAGGGAGCCTCCACTCTCCAGCATCACCTGTGCAGCGAGGCTCCAAGTGGGGTGGTACATAAAGGCATGTGACATATAAAATATATCATATGGAATGGGAGATGTAAATATGTACATTGTTATGTACATAATATATATATATATATGTATGTATGTATATCCGAATCAATAGTTGACAAGTCCCAGGAATGCTTCGACGTTCGAAACCTGGCACCCGGCCTTGAACGAAAAGCTGCCGCAGAGTCATCAGGCCATTGAAGAGACCGTGACTCGTACTGCCAGTAATTCGCACCTTGGAGCACTACGCTTTGTCTGGTGCTAGATGGGATTGTCAAAACTTGGGCAATGTTAGTAGATATGCATATAGTTGCGTGCACATATGTATTTATATTCTATATATATATATTCTGTGTGTGTGAATGTATATCAAATTCAACATATGTATTATATATCTGTGTGTAGGAGTCCCTAAATAGATAGAAAAGGCTATTCTAGTTTCTAGAGGCAATCTTCGTTACAACGTCCACCCACTCTTCGATCTATTTGAATGGTGGTTTCTCCTAGTCTTGGTGCCACCGAGTGGTTCATACGTTGCCTCATGCCTCAACTCGTCATCTTGTGCCACTTGGAGCAAGTGCAATGTTAGACTCTAGACATCTCTAGACGTGCCTTCGCCCATAATTTCTCAGTCCAAATTTACCCCTTCCTTCACTCATGGGATTTTCAGATCTGTGCCTCTTGGTCCAAGTTCAATGTATCTCACAAATACACTTCGCCGTCAAGCAGCTTCGTTCTTCTTGGAGGACACCAAGAAGGTGTATTTCCTCCAAGCTGCACGAAACAAAGCAGCCAAACAAGGGCACGCCATGGATGGAATGTTCCGAGGGAATTTCTGGGGATCCAAAGTGGAAGGAGCATTAGTAATGTCCGTCGATGTAACCTAAAAAAACGGCCTCCCACTCAAAAGGAACTAAGATAGAGAAGCGTATAGGGTGAAGTCCGGGTGAAGTGGATGATCGCACAAAAATGGGTTTGAGTTTGTCATAAGATGGGAAATTTGGGCCAATCTAAGAGGATGCCCATGCCGTCAGAATTAGGAGTGCCGTCGGAAGAACATCCAGAGGCAGGCCATTTTCGTCGGAGTGCTGTCCGAGGCGCTCAGGCTGCGGGTTTTGCGGGCCCCTCTGGACTTCCAAAATGATCTGCGGCAGATCCACCTCCGAACTAAGCGAAATGGTGGCGGAATTCGATGGGTTCATGGTGGTGTCGGGCCAGGCCGTGGCAGAAACGAGGGATTCCGTTCATCCAAGTGACTTGTGCATCGACTTTCAAGTTAGTCTTCCCAATCACGTGCTCATAGAAAGCATCCCTTAGATGCGCTAACAATTGACAGGCAACACTAAGAAGCCCTAGCAGGATTGCCGTGTAGCAGGAAATGGTTTTGCCTCCCCCACTAGGGGAGCGTAGAGGTGGAACTTATCATCCTTTTAGCATCTCTGGTTGCCCTCTAGCTATTAACTGCAATCTTCAAGAGCACCATGGGTTGCCCTTGGCTGGAGGGGTTCTTTCAATCCATCCATACATCAATTCTTATGAACATGTGGATAGTCAAGCCACTAACTGGGATGCAAAGCCCAGGAACTGAAACTATTCTCCTAACTAATAGAATTGGATGCATGTGAAGCTAAAAGTTATCCAGTAAAATGCCCTATTCTCCCACCTGTTTGTGGAGAATCATCCATGCTGTGGAAAATCCAAGAAACGATTCCACCGTGCTGGGCACTGAAAGGCGCAAGGCACCAGAATGAAAAACGAGATCATCACCTCGAACTGCTGTGTTTCTCATTTGGGATGTATTTTTCAACAGAAACATAGCAAAGCAGAACACCTGAAGACATATGTAAGACATATGTAAGACATATGTAAGACATATGTAAATTATGTAAACATGACAAGACGTGTTTAAAAAAAAAAAAAACATATGTGAACTGTGAACACATGAAGTCTAAGCAAGATCACCCCCAAGGACTTCCATGTTCTTGGGTTGCGGGATAATTGCAATACTTTTGGAGCGCGCAAAGGCATCCTTCCCATTGAATCGTCCTTAGCGCGAGGCAAAGCGAGAAGGCAAAGCTATGACACAACAAAAACCCGCAATTGGAATGTTGGTATTTTACGCATTTGTAATATACATGTATGTACTAGTTTTTCCCATGTCATGGGATGATCCCTAGCCCTAGGTTGAACTATGATCTCCCCATGAGCCAAAAATACAAATCTGCCTGTCCAAATGCATCTCAGCCGCTGGACGTTGCATCTCCGACGTGACTAGACCTCGTCCAATAAAATAAGGATGAAGACATGTGGTGAACATCAAGCCAGTACATGGATGCTGAAATTCAGACGGCTGTGAAAAAATGTGCGTCTCTCATTGGGTTTGTTTCAGGGAAATGTCGTTTGAGGAAACCATGGTTTTCATCAATAAACATGGTCTTCCTGAGTCTATGATCCAATTCTGGGGCTCTCCCTGTTCCTTCCAATCGCAATATTGAGTAAGGTTCACTCAGCTTTACGCCTGGCACTGGCAACACGGAAGGTTTCCTGGCAAGGAATTTCAAATGCTAAGTACTCCTGATTACAGAAGAAAAAAATTGTGTAGACATAGCATATGTTACAGGGTCAGGTTTCAAGGGATCCGTCCACGATCTGAACATGTTTTTGCATGTTTTGGCATGCTCTCACGGTTGTTTTTTTGATACCCCCTGTCCCCATGGTAAATGTGTAATTAGTGCGCTAGACCTCTATCAGTTTCACATGCACACACGTACTCGGTTCTGCGTGTTCTTTCAGCTTCAACTTCTTTCACGAGTACTTGCACACATACTTGCTACGCTTGATGCTACGCTTGATGTTCTTGCAATTGCTCTTGGCTTGTACTGGCATGGTCGTGATATGATATACCGATAAACCGATATACCTTCGCAACCGGAGAGACCCCCTTCAAGAAGACTGTGATGTTCAGCTGCTGTAAGATGCGAACCCGGCTCAAAACACAGCATTCGAACAAAATTTAGAAAAGGGCAATCCACACACATATCATGATCGACATCTAGAGGCATTGCCACCAGGTTTTTGGACTCTGCTGAAAGTACGGTTTATTTGGGCCAGCATTTTTGACAGCACACCTGAAATTTTGCAGAAAGTGCCGGAATTTGAAAAGTCGTGAATGAACAGATCCTCCAGTATCTCATATTTTTTGGTTTCGCCTAGTTTGTTTGCCCACCTATGTCTGAAATTAAATTCATTCATTGTAGATGTTCTCCAATGTCGTTTTTTAACAAATTATGTTTGTGATATGTTTGTGACAATGCTGGGTATGAACAACTGGCCTAAACCAAAGTTCACGCCTGAGAACTTTCAGCGACCTGCACCAGGGCCAGCAGTGCCAACCTGCCAACATGTGGAGACAGTTATTCAAAGTGGTTCAGAAACCTAGATGGCATAAGTGCTGCAAATACCTGAGGGCAGAACAAGACCCATTGATTTATGCAACCAAATGGTGTCAGCGGTGCAACAGGTGTTGCATCAATGCGTTGGCTTTAGCGCCTTGCTGGCCAAGCTAACATTGCAACGGAAGGTCCTGCAAAGGCTGGCAATGAGGGTGTCTTCATGCCGGTTTGTTCAGAAATAGATCCCCCCAAAACTCGCAATTTTACTGCTGGAAACCCGATTAAAAACTTTTGGGCAAAACCGTATGATTTTCCTCATGTTTCGACCCAGTCCTCGTGCCACATTCGGTGGGCCCCACCGAAGGACCGGCTACAAATTGAGAAACGTCAACGGGGGGAATGTGGACCCCACATCGCATCAACTGTCCAAACCAACCACTTCTCTATCAACAAGATTCTAAGATTTGCTCAAGTGCCCGCTTACCAATGCCAAGCAGAATACACGAGAAAAGACCATGTGATGTTTTTTAGGTGGTGTTTGAATCCGTGGTAATAATGAAACTGCAACAGGAACCATGGCTGGTAAACGAGTGTTGCGACATCGCGGTGCCAAGTCTTGCCCGAAAGTTTACATTTAAACACATTTAAATTTTAACGAGAAAATCATGACACGATTTCATACAAACATTTTATGAATCCATGGTCAAGAGGTCTGCTGTGGGAATGTGACGGACGGGGATGTTGGTCAGTGAAGAACAAACAGTTGTACAAATCCGTTCCCTTTTTTTGTCCTAGGTATTCTTTGTTTCCGTCGCGTCGGTTTGATTTGTCATTTCCTCTGTCTATAATTTCCGAATCGTTCGTGACCTCGAAACCTGAAACTTTATCGAAGGAAGTTTAGAAGTCAAACTTCCGACAATATGGAGAGATGAAAAGCAGAGCAGGGCAGAGGCAGAGAGAAGAGGAAGATTAGAAGAGAGAAGATCAGAAGAGAAAGAGTAAGAAGACAGAAGATACAGATGCGCGAAAAGGTAGGAAAGTCGCGAAACACTGTGTGTTTCCAATGATTTGTGGCTCCGGAGGGTCGAAAAGTAGGCTCGCTAAAGCGGCGGGTGCGGAGCCGGCCACAGGAGCGATGAAAAATTGCGCGCCGTTGTGGCGCGAAGCACATTTCGAAGTCAAAAGTGTTAAAAACTGGCGGTCTCGGACCACTTTTGGAAGTTGAGATGTCGAAAAAGTGCACGCCGTTGTGGCGCGAAGTACATTTCCAAGTCAAAATGTACAAAACACACCATTGTCGGATCACTTTTGGAAGTTGCGATGTCGAAAAAAGTGCACGCCGTTGTGGTGCGAAGCACATTTCCAAGTCAAAATGTACAAAACACACCAGGTCCGGACCACTTTTGGAAGTTGCGATGTCGAAAAAGTGCACGCCGTTGTGGCGCGAAGCACATTTCGAAGTCAAAATGTACAAAACACACCATGCTCGGACCACTTTTGGAGGTTCAGATGTTGAAAAAAGTGTACGCCGTTGTGGCGCGAAGCACACTTCGAAGTCACACTACATTACAGTACATTACTCCTCCAGTACACTCCACTACACTAAATTACACTACACCACACTACATTACACTGAATGACACTGCAACACAGATAGACAGGTAGACAGCTAGACAGAGAGATGAAAGGGAGAGGGAGATAGACAGGTAGGTAGATAGATAGATAGATAGGTAATTAGATGAAAGAGAGAGAGAGAGAGGGGCCAGCTGGGTAGATGAGATAGATAGATAGATGGCTAGACAGATAGACAGACAGAAAGACAGACAGATCGATAGACAGACAGACAGACAGACAGATAGATAGATAGATAGATCGATAGATACATAGAAAATAGATAGGTAGGTAGGTAGGTAGATAGTCAGAGAAAGAGAGCGAAAGAAAGGAGACCTCAAGCACCTTTCGGTCCATCAGTGGCTTCGCTCTGCCATCCCTGATTCACAACAACCAACCTCTCCTATAGGTTTCCTATTTTTGAAACTTCCGCCACCGCCTTGTGCGGTACTACTGGTACGAATACATAATAAAATGAAATATAAATTAACCACAAATTGCAACATGTGCCTCTTTCAATCACGCGCGACATTTCCAGAATGACGAGACACATGTTTACACCCGCATTCTGCGAACCATTGTTGAAGCGGTGCAAACAGCATAATTACTGACACCAGCGTGAAATTATTTCCATGCGTCGCTGGAAAGCAACACTGTTCCCCTTGCAAACGATAACATACAGTGGCCGTATTTCATAGTTGTTTTTGATATATATTTTTTTGAAACGCCTGTTCGTTGCCTACGGTAGCGCGCAATCAAAAAAACAGTTACTTGCAAAAGAATCGAGCAAACGATATCATATTCAATTCGGCATTGGTTGTGCGTCGACGTAGGCGTAGGCTTGACTCAAGGAGCCTGTCGACAATCCACCGTAGTGTAAACACAAGGAAGAAAAAGGAGGCACCCTTGCTTGATATGCACCAAATTGGCACAGTTTCCTTGCCCGCTTTTATGGTGGATGAAATGGTTTGTTTTGCCTGGTGCCTGTTGGAATCTAAGTGTGAAACACGTTGCTGCGGTCCTTTGGGACACGGGATACCAAAATGGCGCTAAAGTTTCGCAAGTTCATGCAGGCACGTGCTGCGATGAAAACGGGGAAAGTTGTGGTAGGCCACCGTCGCCAAGCTAAGCTGAGACGTGGCCGGGAAAAAAAACATATGCGGATTTTGGCGTCCAATATCCGCGATAGCGATACCAAATAAAGGTCCAATTTTTCCACTTTAAATAAGTTTATCATTTTTTGTTTTTTATATTCAAAATGTTATTGTTTTTCTAAGCATTTTTCTCTATTTCATTTGTTTACTGTATGTCTGCTATATTTCTTATTGAGTACTATTTTGTTTTTGTTTCATTCGGTTCATTAGAAAGATTGTCAACCAATGTAAAAGGGAATGCTTGTCAGGCGCAAATCTTTGTTTAAATTGTTCTTCCAATGGTGTTTTTGTAAGGCAGGTTGCAAATATATCCATGGCATGCAACAACTTCAATATTTGGCAAATGAAGTTTAGAAGTCAAACTTCCGACCATATGGACAGATGGAAAAGCAGAGGTGGGAAAAGTTCGAGAAGAAAAGAGAAGAGAAGAAGAGAAGAAGAGAAGAAGAGAAGAAGAGAAGAAGAGAAGAAGAGAAGAAGAGAAGAAGAGAAGAAAAGAAGAGAAGAAGAGAAGAAGAGAAGAAGAGAAGAAGAGAAGAAGAGAAGAAGAGAAGAAGAGAAGAAGAGAAGAAGAGGGAAGATCAGAGAAAAGAAAGAGTCAGAAGAAAGAGTCCGAAGAAAGAGTCAGAAGAAAGAGTCAGAAGAAAGAAGATGCAGGTGCTTCTCAAGGTCGCGATTCACTGCGTTTTTCCAATGATTTGTGGCTCCGGAGGGTCGAAAAGTAGGCTCGCTACAGCGGCGGGTGCGGAGCCATCTGGCCAAATGAGAGATGAAAAATTGCACGCCGTTGTGGCGCAAAGCACATTTCGAAGTCAAAATGTGCCAAACACACCATTCTCGGACCACTTTTGGAAGTTGAGATGTCGAAAAAGTGCACGCCGTTGTGGCGCGAAGCACATTTCCAAGTCAAAATGTACAAAACACGGCAGCTTCGAACCACTTTTGGAAGTTGAGATGTCGAAAAAGTGCACGTCGTTGTGGCACGAAGAAAATTTCCGAGGCAAAATGTTAAAAACACCACATGTTCGAACCACTTTTGGACGTTCAGATGTCGTCTCACGTGGCCGGCGCAAGGGATTGTGCACCTTGTCAAAAGCGAGCAAAAGGTGGCCGTTTTCTAGTATTTCCAAAAACGATGGTAGGCGTGGGACATTTGAAGAGGATCTGGAACGATGCATTTCGCATGGCAGGCGCAATACAAAAGACATGTTCATCAGAGATGTTAGGAGGTCAGGGCCCTTGATGCACAAGAGCTATGGGCTCTCGAAAGGCAGCTGAATCTTTCTGCAGAAATGTTGGCTCACATCCAAACAGTGGTTTTTGGTTTGGTTCTTCTCTTGAAATTCCCAACAATCCAAGTGCACTGAGAAGCTTGTGGTATTCATGTATGATCATGGATGGAACACTCAGTTCAGAAAACTTTTTTGTGCATGAATGTATAGTATCACGTGTGTTGGCGCGTTCTGATATGTAAAGTGAAAGGATGCTTTTTACCAATCACATGGAATGTACAAACAGTTTGTATGAAGAGTGCGGCACAGATTTCTACAATGCCAAGTGTTACTTCTGGCTCAAGTACCTTGAGTCGCACGCTATGAAAAGATTCCAGTTCCGCTTCATTTCGCGTGGCAGGCGCAGCACTTAAAGCACGTTATGATCAAAAAGTGCCGCGCACCTATGGCGAAACCTGCAATCGTAACGTGCTTCCGTTGAAAATATTACAGATATATTTTCTTTACGCGGGGAAGATGACCTTTCTGGATCGTAACGTCGTGTCCCGTTGTGCAGTCCGAATTTTGGGCGCAAAGTGGGCTGGTTTTGTGGCACAGGGATCCGGCTCGGAATTTCCAAGCGTCTCTGGGGATGTGTCGGTTTCTCTTGGAATCTCTCCGGCTCTCTGGAGCTCTTGGGGGGTCTGTGGGAGTCTTTGGCGTCTTTGGCGGTTTTTCGTGTTTTCTGGTCATTTTCGTTCTCCGGGCAAGTAGAAACCAGAAGGGAAAAGGAAAAAAACCTTACCTTTGCCACTACATGGCCCCAGGCCGGAGCAAGAAAGCCATCAAACAACCATCTTGAGTTAAACACGATATTTAGGAGCATTATGTCGGTAATTTTTCTCTGAATAGGTTCGCGCAATACATACACAAACGAAACAAATAGGAAAATACATTCCGTGTCCCATTTCGTGGTAAAACAACGCCAGCTATTTGACATGTTTTTTCATTTGGTACTTTTTTTAAACGGATTTTGTTCCTATGTACCCAGCGCTCGCCATTTAACACTCTAGGATGTCCGAAACGGTGCAACAAGCCGCTATGCAATAGCAGCACGAGATTTGCGCATAATCTTTAATTGGTTCTTCATGCCGCGCATTGCATCGATCCAAATGTAAGCATCGTCTCAAACCGAGTTCGCTACAGATCGAAGCATGCGAATCTAATCCACTGTTGTTGCATCAAGGGACCCGGTTGCTGGTCCAAACAAAAAATTGTGTAGCGACGGTTTCGAATTTGTTTGCTCTCGATTGTTCGTCCGGGCGCGACGGTATTGCTGCAATCCCTTACGCTTAGCAAGCCCGGCTGATGCAATTCAATTTCGTCGCGTTCCCTCAAGTCCTCCAAGTATTTCAGCGCAAATGATGTTATATTGAAAAGTAAACTAGCTGAAAAACATCAGTATCTATGGGCGCAGTAAATTGAGAAGTCAAATTTCCGACAAAATAGATTAATGACAACGCAAAGGTGGGAAGAGTCAGAAAAGAGAAGAGAAGACACAAGAAGATCAGAGAACAGAAAGCATCAGAAGGAAGAAGGTGAACATCCGCAAAAAGGTAGGCCAGTCGCGAATCAGTACATTTTTCTAGTGATTTGTAGCTCCGGAGGGTCGAAAACTAAGCTCGTTAAAGCGGCGAGTGCGGAGCCATCTAGGGAGATCAGAAATGAAAAATTGCAAACCGCTGTGGCGCGAAACAAATTTGGAAGTCAAATGCTGTCAAACTGACGGTCTCGGAGCACTTTTGGAATTCCAATGCCGAAAAGGTCCACGCCGTTGTGGCGCGAAACTAATTTCGAAGTCAAAATGTGCAAAACACATCCTTCTCGGAACACTTGTGAAATTAATGTCAAAAAAATGCAAGCCGTTGTGGCGCGAAGTACGTTTTGAAGTCAAAAGTGTTAAAAAAAATGACGGATAACTTTTGGAAGTCCCGGCTAAAAGTGAGAAAAAAAAACGTAACGGTTTGGTAGCAGTTTCAAAAACGTTGGCAGGTGTGGGACATTTGAATGTGAATTCCGCACGCGTGGCACTAGTAACTACCATGTGTCACTTGTACAGTTTTTGGTTAAGACCCAGGGGTTTGAGCCAACTTGTGTATATGCCTGCAGCCCCTTTAAAGGATTGAGTTCAAAGGTTAAAAAAAAGTAGAGCCCAATACGCTAGCTGCCTGTGAACTTCCGTTTTCGCATGGTAGCGGAGCGCTGAGCGGGTAGCACCGCCAGGCTCCAGGGACGCGCCGCCACGTCCCACTACAACAATAGTTGGTGGCAAAACCGTTCTTCTGGTCAGTGGCACACATCTGACTCGCAAAACAACCAAACCTGGACAGCGACAGACTGGTCCAGCAACACGTGGGCTGACTGGCGTGCCGGTGCCAGCAGTTACACCACACCAACCCCAAAGCCGAAGCCTAGGAACAGGCGAGGCACGCGCAGCACGCAAAAGCAAGCTGAGCGACAACAACGAGGACAAGCTAGACGACAAGCAGCTGCCCTTGACCCCAAACAGGAGAAGAGAGTGAGGAGGTAGACCGTAGAACACGTTCATCCCCATCTCTTGAAAGCAGGCCTGACTTTTCGTGGTCGGAGGAAGAGCCCGAAATCGCCCAAGCACTGCCAGCCGAGGAGGAGGAACAGGAACAAACAACTGTCCCCGACCCTGCTGACACACACCCCGCCGAGAGAGCGGACAGCCCCGCCCATACAACTGCGAAACCCGGAGAGGAGGAGGACGTCGAAGAACCATCCCCACGCTTCGGTGCAGCATACTACGAACGCCGGTGAGCCAGAGCAGCCAGAGACAGTCATTGCGCGTGTCCAAATTTCATGTGAAGTGCTGCAGATTAAACAGATACACTTTTCCCCTTTCTCAAACCTCAAAGTCTAGTTTTCCGGCGATGATTCTTGATTCCTAGTTGTTTTTGTTCAAAATGTTCATCAGTCCACCCCTATGCCTTTCCTGCATTGATTCGATTCCATGGAGCCATGGAGCCAAAGGCAAGTCAAGCTGTTTTCAGTGGCTACCTTCTCGACACCGCAGCAACCTTCACTGCACCTCTCTGAAACCATAACTTTGGTCCAAAGCCGCGTTTTGAACAAGTGAGAAAAATGTCCCATTGACATTGCATCAACCGCTTCATTGTATCCATCTGTATCTGGGCCTTTTACAAGTAATTTCCAGTTTGCTAGTGCTGCTAGTCAGTCTTGTCACTTGTAAAGTCAGTCTCCCAACCTCATGTTGGGTCCACTTTCCCCACTTTCCGTTCCTTTTTTGACATCCATTTGGATCCCTTGGATCGGTGACGGTGCAGAACTTCCTCACCGCCGTGCTTTCAACCCCTTGGAGGCGCCACCCTTCAGCAAGCGCTGCAGCAACGCCACGGCGCGATGGCGCTTGGAGGCGTCTGCCGCGTTGGTAGATGCCACTCTCCTGGCAGAACAGACTAGTGATTTTCGATGACTTTGGATTGTTTTTTTTATTACTATATATTACTATTATATACTAGAATTTGCTATCATTACTATTATCATTGTTATTGCTAATATTATTTTATATTATTATTATCATTATTATCATTATTATTAATATTATCAATATTTTTATCATTGTATACTTCTACTTACTGTCATTGTCATAGAGTCATATTTATTACTCTCACCTACCAGTTTCTGATGCCCAAAAATCCTCACTGCCAGCTGATCCAAGGAAAAAATGATACCACGGAGTGTAGCACCACATCCCTGCCTGACATGGGCCAAGAGTGCCTTAACAAGAAAATGTTGCTGCATCCACTGAGAGGGACCGCAAAAATTTGATCGAATCAAATCGAAGCATTGAATTTGCCTCTTGCCAACATACGCAAGCTGGCCTGTGTGTCACCATGCCTGCAGCCAGCAAGAGGCGTATTGAGATGAAATACAGCACCACACGCAAGCAATCTCACACAAATGACAGAAGAACTTACTCCTTGACTTCTAATACACATAGAATATGGAATCCATTGGAAGCCATTTTTGAATCCTAAAGGCACTCCTAAACATCCCTAAACCCGTTGGTATTGGATCTCTCCATTTGGGGACCCTGGCCTCGTATGCCTCACTGGCCTGGCTTTGTTTCTTCGCACTTGGAGCCCAATGTGCCGCTCCTTGGCACCGGATCCGAGTTGATCCAAGAAGGCAAGAAGCAAAACAAAAAAAGCAAAGAAGGAGACAAGAACTGACAAAAACTCGAAAGGAAGTCTTACAACTGGAAGTTCCAAACAAATTCACCGATCTTTTGAGAACGAGACTGAGTGTAAATGAGTATAGAATATACATGGGTTGACTCGGTTTGACTGTGAAGTTGGCACCAACTCCACCGCCAAGCTGCACGGTGCACCTCGATTGCCTGAGCAGTGACCGGTTCTTCCAGGGGCTTGCGTCATGTTCCACTTCCATGGTACATGATGGCCATGGCATGGCCATCATGATTTCATTCATGGAAAACCTCCATGCCTTTGCCGTCGACAGCGCTTGCTGACCATCTGCATCGCGAAAATTCACCTGGCCATGGCCAATTGGTATCACAAGATCATTTAATACCTCTCAATGAATGGGTGCTTTAAAAATAACATGACGTTTGCCACTTGTGTTGCGCAAAATTTGCTGCTTACAACCGAGTTCTTGCAGGGTGACCTCAATGTGTTCCCTTAAGATTGCCAGTTCCTGTTTCAACATCGTTGAAACTATCGAAAACTCGATTTAAACCAGCATTTTTGCACCATGTTTCCATCTTTTTCCCAAAAAAAACCTGGATTTCTGCCATTTTTCTGCGGTTCCGCCTGCATTCGTCGCAGCTCCGGCTGCAGCAGCTCCAGGCGTCGTTGGAAGTCGCCGAAGCCCGGGCGGTGGCGGCCGCTCCACGTGGCTTCGGCCAGGGCGGCGCCGCGGGGCCAGGCCTTTTCAAAAAAAACGAACAAAAGATATTGATAGAAAAAACAATATGATATAAAACAAGATTTATATATATATAGACAATATATGACAATATATTTTGCATTACGATACAAAAAGATACAATATTTAATGTAACTAGCTAAGATATTACATTATATTAGATGATATTATGATATTATATATGATATGATGGTTTAAATTATGGTGTCTTTTGATGGTAATGTTTATATGATACGGAGTGATACGGTATCCCTACAGAGCGACATTCACAGCAATGTTCACTTTGAAGCATGAAAAATATTATCTATTGAAGAATCTATTGTATACATGTGTGCGAAAGATTCAAGTGTGATCCGGTTGCACCGCCACTGGCAGCTTCTGGAAACCGAGTTTGGCCCAGCACTTTTGACAAATTCTGATATATTTGGCGTTGGTAGGTCTAAAGTCTAAAAATTATCGTGTCAAAACCCTTTTGTGATGGATTTGTGATGGATTTCGAATCAAGGTTGGGGCCCCTGTTGTGCAATCCATTCGTGGAATGCTTGTTGCTCATATTCCCAAGTACCGTAGGACTATTCCTTTTCTCGGTATCAAACCAATGTCTGTTGTTCGAGATGCCCCCAATTCTTTTTCGCTGGCACCTTGTAATCCAATTCCCTCACACCACCGGAGATGTACCTCGGTTTCACCGGCGGAAAACACAGAACTTGTCTGAAGGACTGCATGATGAAACTCCGAATTTCCCTGCCTTAACCTGTTCCGAGAAACTAGTGTCATCAGTCATCAGTATGAACGCCATGTACTCTATCTCCATGGGTGATTCCCAACTTGTTTCATCTATTTTCACAATTTATAAACCCAAGGCACTCGCTCCATAGCTGCCCTTGGCCGCCCAATACCTTGGCGCCATGACCATTGAAGTCCAACCTTAGCGCAGTTTCACTGGATGCTCAGCAAAGAAGACGGGTACATACATAGATGCGGGCCCGGGTACTTATGGATAGTTAAACACATATGAATGAAATTAAATGAACATGTGTAATCTGGATGAATTGTGATACTGACCTGATCTAGAATAATTGTTTCTCATGTTTTCTCATTTTGGGGTGTTCGGTCTTGACCCATAGCCAGAGATGGAGATGTTCATTTGCATATCAGTTGGGGATAAGTGTCTACATGCCTTTGGGAGAAAAATAGAAGGATAAGTCTGGTATACCTGGTATACCATTCGCATGTCATTGCTATCATAGCCTGAACAATGCGAGGCGGCCCTCCTTTTTCATTTCCCCAGTCGGACAAGGACAACACGACAGAAATGAGGACAGCTTCCAGGCCAGCTTGTTCAAGGAGCTCATAGACTTTCCGCGTGTTCAAGAATCCTGGCGTGGTCGACGCAATGTCCGGCAATGCGCCGTGGGGCCATGGGCGGATCCAAGAAATGAAGACATCGAAAGTGGCAAATTGTCGCGGCCGGATAGATATTTAGCAAGTACTTGTCCATGTTGCTTCAATCTCATTAAATCCCGTTTGAATTTGAGAAGATCTTGGATCACCACTGGAAGCCAGGATCAACCCATGGTTTTTCACATGTTTTTTTTGTTCTTCGTTTCATGCCGTCTCTCGGGACAGCGCCTCCAGTGGCTCCGAAGGCGTCGTGGTCTCCGTGGGGACTCTGGAACTGGTCCAAGTAGCTGCCTAAAGAAATTGACAAAACATGGCATGTCCGTTCGTAGCTCCAGGTTGGAAAACATCTCTACTTTATATGGCATATATATATATATGATTATATATATGATTATATAAATATAGTTATATAGTTAATGTCGTGTTATGTTTTAATGTTATGTCATATGTCCCATGTGGAAGTATCCCATGCTATCCCGAAGGGCTATCTGCAGTAGCTGCATCTGCACTATCCCTATCCGCCCTATCCCATTGTGCTTCTTTTGGCCCATCGTTGTCCATTTTGGGCATATGGGCCCATCTGAAGGAAAATGGAGATACCGGTGAAAGGTCACCGGAAACAGCCGGTATGCTCTGAGGATATCATTTTCTATCAGCTATGGGGATTGAGATCTGATCACCTTCAACCAATGTCACATCATATTTATTCATTGGAGAATATTATCACTAGAAACCATTTCAGTTTGGGATATCGTGATTTCTATTGGCTTTCAACATCTTTCAACTTTCAACCCATTCCTTTGCTGGTTATAATTAGTTAAAAGCCTACACCATGCTTTTTGTGGGCCAATATATCTCCAAACAATTTGATATCTTGATATATTTTGATTCCCACGGTCCCCGCCAAGTGGCGATCTTGTGGACACATCACCACCGCATGGCCCTGCTGTGCCGCCTTCGCCAAGTTGTTGACGCCCATCCAGGAGCGCCAGAGCATCACCACGGTGTCGCGCGGCAACGGGACGCCGTTGTGCATCCTGAAAAGGACCACGACTCAACAGTTCTTACAAGGATTACATCGCTTTCATAACTTTGGCTTGGATCTTTCTAAAAATGACCCGTTTGACCCTCTAATTATCATGTTCTGTCCAAAAATATGGGAAGCGTTCCCGCTATGATAAGCGTTTTTTGATGCATGATTCATGGCAAGCGGCGCATCGTCCCAGACCACCGCTTGGCGTCCCAAATGCTTCACCGCATTAATTGCCTCAAAAAACCAACAATCCAACCGCCAACACAACTCATTGGATCGATTTGCTCGAGAAAATCCACAAGAACTTCGTTTGGTTTACCAACTATTACCAACCGGTTGTTTTCGGGGTGGGTGTTGTAGATTTTCCCTTAACCAAAAAAACACATGATGTTATGATCTGGCGGAAAATGACATTGCGTTGCTTGATCAGTCTTATCTGCACTTGCCCGTGGTGGCCACAAAGGATGTTCAAAAAAACTTCGAGGAAAGTCTTCTCTAAATGGGAAATCCAACGCCATCAAAAGCAATCTCTTCATCAATTCCAATTACTTTTTCTCACACCACAGATATTCCATGTATATATATATACAGATAGATAGATGCCTACACATATTCTATCTACTTATACAATCTTATACATAAGTGTGTGTAACACCTTGTAACACCACCCCTTCCAAATCTCACGGAATCTCCAAATGCTCCCAGCCACGTTCTGCGTCATGACCCCTGCGATGCCCTCGACGCGCCGCAGCCTGTGCGACGCCATGAAGTCCCGTGCCACGGTGGAGCGCGACCATTGCTGCGTGGCCACTTCGTCACCGCCCACCTTAGGCAACGTTCGTATCGAATATCGAACATCGACATCGACATCATCGACATACAGTACATGATATCAATAGGGCAGGGAGAGAGACGCAGAGAGAGAGAGAGAGAGCGCATTCTTACATGATGATCGTTACAGCATTCAGAATATATGGTTGAGCATCATCCGATTTTTCTCTGTAGATGAAGAAGGTGAAGAAGGATCCATAATAATCCATTGGCTTAATACAAACATATACAAATACACATATATGTATATATGTATACATTATGATATATATGATTTTACACACGCATAGCTTGTATGTACCCTTTATGAGTTTGAAGCTTTTACCATCCGTTGTAAGCGCTTCTCAAATGATGGGGTTGCCCAGGGTTGTATGGGATCAACTCACCAACCCCGCTGCCGAATCCATTGCAACCGGAAACCGATAACACATGACATGGTTTACCGGGTTTACCGATAACACATGGTGATTGGGTCATCAATCCACAGAAAACATCTGATAATTCCTAAGCGACGCACGGCATGCCGTTGAGCCACATGAAAGTAGCCCGAGTCCACCAGCTGCGCTGTTTCTCCGATGACCTCATTGAGGCTGGAAGTCGTGACATGTGTGGACTCCTGCTATGAGCTTCCACCGTCTCAGCATACCTGGTATACCTGTTCTGCATCAAGTATACATGCATCTCATCACCTCACCAAGTCACATCGGAGATGAAATGCATGCTGGTCTCGGATGGCTTCATGGTATGCTCGAGGGCACCTACGGAAAATCGAAGGCATCGAACGCAAAGGCATGGTCTGGTCTTCACATGACATATCAATGACTCACAATTGTGGAGACGTCATGACGCAGTAAAATATCCTTCCAAGACTTTTAGATGCTTCCAGACATATCTAACATGTTTTAGACATGTTTTAGACATATCTAGAACAGATCCACTGAGCTGTCGACCAAATTGGGTTGCCACCTTCGCACCGACATTCCCCAGTTCGGGGTATGCGGCCAACACTGCCTGGAGGCGCGACCGGTGATAAAGATGGTCGCATCGCGGCATCACATGGGAGAATCATGAATTTCAGATAATTGATGATTAAATATGATAAGTGATATAGCCGGTATAGCTGGATGTAAATACTCGGAAAAGGATATTACCATGAAGAAATTGCATCATATTTTTGGAGCACTCCGCCAAGTACCTGGATGTGGCCGGGCGAATCAATCTCTGGGATGATCTCAATATGCAGCGATTTGGCATACGCAACGATGCTTCTCATCTCGTCCGCAGTATAAGAGCCTGCGTCACGTTGCTGAAGTATCCCTGAAGCATTTCCCAGCTGAAGGACAAGGTCAAGAAAAAGTTTAAACAAAAGACTTTGGAATGACTTACCAGCACAACCAGGTGAAACGATACAAAGCAGTAGGTAGGCATGAAAGAGCTTTCAGATGAAAAACAAACAAAAACGCTTTCTCCACCTCCATAACGCACGTGGTCATGGATCGACCTGTTGTGTCCGATCTGGGTGCCTTCCCTCCAAGCTCCAACCTGACACGACGTTCGCCCCATGTCCTAAATATTCTCCTATATAAATATCTTGCACAAATCATGCTGAGCATCAGGGATTTGGCACATCCCATGAGATGATCTGTGCGACTCCCTGCCTCTGTCAGTTTTGGATATTTTTGGCTCGGAATGCGCCAGCCCTGGTCGTCAGACAAGTGCCAGTGAAAGCGGTTCATCTTAAAGGAAGCCTTAGATGCATAAAGCTGTGCTCTGCGCATGGAAAGTGGGAATTTATTCAAGTTTCAGCAAGTTGATGTCAAAGTGAGCCAAGGTCCAAAGCCGCAAGTACCAAGTGGGTTTGCTGCCTACTGGCCTACTGTAAAAGGATTGAAACGTTGAAGAGATGGGGAGCCAACAAAATGGATAAAAGTCTTGGTCCAAGTCGTCCAAGTCGCCATGGTGCGCAGTAAATGTTTCACCTCGCTGGCATTGAAAAAGTGCCGGCTCACATCCAGCATCAACCCACGCCATTCATGTTCTGGCTCGTCTCCTTAGAAACGTCGCCATATCCAAGTTGATTCGGTATGGTTCATCAATGTTAATTAATGTTAATTAAGGTTAATTAATCATTGGCATCATTGGGTTTTCAAAGCCCATAAGTAAAGATATTTTAAGTACAGTAAGCTTGTCCCGACCTTTGAAACAAAAGAACAAATGCGGCTCATTTTTGCACATTTCTTTGCTCAGGAACTGATTTTGACCTGAGGGAGCCTCCACTCTCCAGCATCACCTGTGCAGCGAGGCTCCAAGTGGGGTGGTACATAAAGGCATGTGACATATAAAATATATCATATGGAATGAGAGATGTAAATATGTACATTGTTATGTACATTATATATATATGTATGTATGTATGTATATCCGAATCAAAAGTTGCCAAGTCCCAATGCTTCAACGTTAACCTGGCACCCGGCCTTGAACGAAAAGCTGCCGCAGAGTCATCAGGCCATTGAAGAGACCGTGACTCGTACTACCAGTAATTCGCACCTTGGAGCACTACGCTTTGTCTGGTGCTAGATGGGATTGTCAAAAACTTGGGCAATATATCGATTATAGATATGCATATGGTTGCGTGCACATATGTATTAATATTTTATATATCTATATATACATTTTTACAAAAATAAATAAAATAAATAAATTCTGTGTGTGTGAATGTATATCAAATTCAACATATGTATTATATATCTGTGTGTAGGAGTCCCTAAATAGATAGAAAATTCTAGTTTCTAGAGGCAATCTTCGTTACAACGTCCACCCACTCTTCGATCTATTTGAATGGTGGTTTCTCCTAGTCTTGGTGCCACCGAGTGGTTCATACGTTGCCCCATGCCTCAACTCGTCATCTTGTGCCACTTGGAGCAAGTGCAATGTTAGACTCTAGACATCTCTAGACGTGCCTTCGCCCATAATTTCTCAGTCCAAATTTACCCCTTCCTTCATGGGATTTTCAGATCTGGTGCCGGTCAAGCAGCTTCGTTCTCAGAGGACACCAAGAAGGTGTATTTCCTCGCTGCACGAAACAACGCCAAAACAGGATGGAATGATAGGCCCTTCCCCAGGGCACACCATTCCGAGGGAATTTCTCATTTCCATGGAAGGAGCATTAGTAATGTCCGTCGATGCTAAAAAGCGGCCTCCGACTCAAAAGGAACTAAAATAGAGAAGCGTATAGGCGTATAGGGTGAAGTGGATGATCGCACAAAAATGGGTTTGAGTTTGTCATAAGATGTTGCATTCCTGAATGCACCCCTGCATTATGATTACGTTGTAACATGGCACATGGTACTCCCCCAAAGAGCTGAAATGGACTTGAAATTATATAATTTCGAAACCAGTTCTCTGCGTGTAGCCAAGCAGGGCAATTTGAACCAATCTAAGAGGATGCCCATGGTGCAGGATTGTGGCTCAGGAGTGCTGTCCGAGGCGCTCAGGCTGCGGGTTTTGCGGGCCCCTCTGGACTTCCAAAATGATCTGCGGCAGATCCACCTCCGAACTAAGCGAAATGGTGGCGGAATTCGATGGGTTCATGGTGTCGGGTCAGGCCTACAGCTGCAGAAACGGGGGATTGCGTTCATCCAAGTGACTTGCGCATCGACTTTCAAGTTAGTCTTCCCAATCACGTGCTCATAGAAAGCATCCCTTGGATGCGCTAACAATTGACAGGCAACGCTAAGAAGCCCTAGCAGGATTGTCGCGTAGCAGGAAATGGTTTTGCTTCCCCCGCTAGGGGAGCGTAGAGGTGGAACTTATCATCCTTTTAGCATCTCTGGTTGCCCTCTAGCTATTAACTGCACTCTTCAAGAGCACCAAGGGTTGCCCTTGGCTGGAGGGGTTCTTTCAATCCATCCATACATCAATTCTTATGAACGTGTGGATAGTCAAGCAGTGAAGCCACTAACTGGGATGCAAAACCCAGGAACTGAAACTATTCTCTTAACTAATACAGTTGGATGCATGTGAAGTGCCCTATTACTAGCTGTTTGTGGAGAATCATCCATGCTGTGGAAAATCCAAGAAACGATTCCACCGTGCTGGGCACTGAAAGGCGCAAGGCACCAGAATGAAAAACGAGATCATCACCTCGAACTGCAGACTCTCATTTGGGATGTATTTTTCAACAGAAACATAGCAAAGCAGAACACCTGAAGACATGGAAACATTAAAACGTGCTTTTAAAAAAAAAAGTGAACACATGAAGTCTAAGCAAGAGCACCCCCAAGGACTTCCATGTTCTTGGGTTGCGGGATAATTGCAATACTTTTGGAGCGCGCAAAGGCATCCTTCCCATTGAATCGTCCTTAGCGCGAGAAGGCAAAGCTATGACACAGGCAACAAAAATCCGCAATTGGAATTAGTATTTTACACATGTGCATTTAGATGTATATGCAATAATATACATGTATGATCATGTATGTACTAGTTTTTCCCATGTCATGGGATGATCCATAGCCCTAGGTGAACGATGATCTCCCCATGAGCCAAAAATACAAATCTGCCTGTCCAAATGCATCTCAGCCGCTCAAGAAGCTGCGCCTCACTTTCTTGGAGTGCGCCGAACTAGTCGTTGCATCTCCGACGTGACTAAACCTCGTCCAAATAAGGTACGGATGAAGACATGTGCTGAACATCATGCCAGTACATGGATGCTGAAATTCAGACGGCTGTGAAAAACTATGCGTCTCTCATTGGGTTTGTTTCAGGGACATGTCGTTTGAGGAAACCATGGTTTACATCAATAAACATGGTCTTCCTGAGTCTATGATCCAATTCTGGAGCTCTCCCTGTTCCTTCCGTTCGCAATATTGTGGAAGGTTCACTCAGCTCTACGCCTGGGACTGGCAACACGAAAGGTTTCCTGGCAAGGAATTTCAAATGTAGACATCGCATCTGTTACAGGGTCAGGTTTCAAGGGATCCGTCCACGATCTGAACATGTTTTTGCATGTTTTGCATGGTCTCACGGTTGTTTTCTTGATAACCTCTGCCCCCGTGGTAAATGTGTAATGTCCATGCCTTTCTTCAGTGCGCTAGACCTCTATCAGTTTCACATGCACACATGTACTCGGTTCTGCGTTTTCTTTCAGCTTCAACTTCTTTCACGAGTACTTGCACACATACTTGCTACGCTTGATGCTACGCTTGATGTTCTTGCAATTGCTCTTGGCTTGTACTGGCATGGTCGTGATATGATATACCGATATACCGATATACCTTCGCAACTGGAGAGACCCCCTTCAAGAAAACTGTGATGTTCAACTGCTGTAAGATGCGAACCCGGCTCAAAACACAGCATTCGAACAAAATTTAGAAAAGGGCAATCCACACACATATCAAGATCGACATCTAGAGGCATTGCCACCAGGTTTTTGGACTCTGCTGAAAGTACGGTTTATTTGGGCCAGCATTTTTGACAGCACACCTGAAATTTTGCAGAAAGTGCCGGAATTTGAAAAGTCGTGAGTGAACAGATCCTCCAGTATCTCATATTTTTTGGTTTCGCCTAGTTTGTTTGCCCACCTATGTCTGAAATTAAATTCATTCATTGTAGATGTTCTCCAATGTCGTTTTTTAACAAATTATGTTTGTGATATGTTTGTGACAATGCTGGGTATGAACAACTGGCCTAAACCAAAGTTCACGCCTGAGAACTTTCAGCGACCTGCACCAGGGCCAGCAGTGCCAACCTGCCAACATGTGGAGACAGTTATTCAAAGTGGTTCAGAAACCTAGATGGCATAAGTGCTACAAATACCTGAGGGCAGAACAAGACCCATTGATTTATGCAACCAAATGGTGTCAGCAGTGCAAAAGGTGTTGCATCGATGCGTTGGCTTCTAGCGCCTTGCTGGCCAAGCTAACATTGCAACGGAAGGTCCTGCAAAGGCTGGCAATGAGGGTGTCTTCATGCCGGCTTGTTCAGAAATAGATCCCCCCAAAAGTCGTAATTTTACTGTTGGAAACCCGATTGATTTTTTTTGGACAAAACCGTATGATTTTCGTCTTGTTTCGACCCAGTCCTCGTGCCACATTCGGTGGGCGAGGACCGGCTACAAATTGAGAAACGTCAACGGGGGGAATGTGGATTCCACATCGCAACTGTCCAAACCAACCACTTCAAGTGCGCGCTTATGCCAAGCAGACACATGAAAAGACCATGTGATGTTTTTAGGTGGTGTTTGAATCCGTGGTAATAATGAAACTGCAATACGAACCATGGCTGGTAAACGGGTGTTGCGACATCGCGGTGCCAAGTCTTGCCCAAAAGTTGTTACATTTAAACACATTTAAATTTTAACGAGAAAATCATGACACGATTTCATACAAACATTTCATGAATCCATGGTCAAGGGGTCTGCTGTGGGAATGTGACGGACGGGGATGTTGGTCAGTGAAGAACAAACAGTTGTACAAATCCGTTCCCTTTTTTTGTCATAGGTGTTCTTTGTTTCCGTCGTGTCGGTTTGATTTGTCATTTCCTCTGTCTATAATTTCCGAATCGTTCGTGACCTCGAAACCTGAAACTTTATATGAATAAAAAATGAAACATAAATCAACCACAAATTGCAACATGTGCCTCTTTCAATCACGCGCGACATTTCCAGAATGACGAGACACATGTTTACACCCGCACTCTGCGAACCATTGTTGAAGCGGTGCAAACAGCATAATTACTGACACCTGCGCGAAATTATTTCCATGCATCGCTGGAAAGCAACACTGTTCCCCTTGCAAACGATAACATACGGTGGCCATATTTCATAGTTGTTTTTTATATCTTTTTTAAACGCCTGTTCGTTGCCTACAGTAGCGTCGCAATCAAAAAAAACAGCTACTTGCAAAAGAATCGAGCAAACGATATCATATTCAATTTGGCATTGGTTGTGCGTAGACGTAGGCGTAGGTTTGACTCAAGGAGCCTGTCAACAATCCACCGTAGTGCAAACACAAGGAAGAAAAAAGAGGCCCCCTTGCTTGATATGCACCAAAGTGGCACAGTTTCCTTGCCCGCTTTTATGGTGGATGAAATGGTTTGTTTTGCCTGGTGCCTGTTGGAATCTAAGTGTGAAACACGTTGCTGCGGTCCTTTGGGACACGGGATACCAAAATGGCGCTAAAGTTTCGCAAGTTCATGCAGGCACGTGCTGCGATGAAAACGGGGAAAGTTGTGGTAGGCCACCGTCGCCAAGCTGAGACGTGGCCAGGAAAAAAACATATGCGGATTTTGGCGTCCAATATCCGCGATAGCGATACCAAATAAAGGTCCAATTTTTCCACTTTAAATAAGTGTATCATTTTTGTGTATTATATTCAAAAAAGTTATTGTTTTTTTGCAAGCATTTTTCTCTATTTCATTTGTTTACGGTATGTTTGCTGTATTTCTTATTGAGTACTGTTTTGTTTTTGTTTCACTTGGTTCATTAAAAGGATTGTCAAACAATGTAAAAAGGAATGCTTGTAGGGCGCAAATCTTTGTTTAAATTGTTTTTCCAATGGTGTTTTTGTAAGGCAGGTTGCAAATATATCCATGGCATGCAACAACTTCAATATTTGGCGAAGGAAGTTTAGAAGCCAAACTTCCGACCATATGGAAAAGCAGCGGTGGGAAAAGTAAGAGAAGAGAAGAGAAGAGAAGAGAAGAGAAGAGAAGAGCAGAGCAGAGCAGAGCAGAGAAGAGCAGAGCAGAGCAGAGCAGAGCAGAGAAGAGCAGAGCAGAGCAGAGCAGAGCAGCGGAGCGGAGCGGAGCGGAGAGGAGAGGAGAGGAGAGGAGAGGTGAGGGTGTTGAGAGGTGAGGTGTTGAGAGGTGAGGTGTTGAGAGGTGAGGTGTTGAGAGGTGAGGAGAGGAGAGGAGAGGAGAGGAGAGGAATGGGGAGGAGAGAAGAGGAGAGAAGAGGAGAGAAGAGGAGAGAAGAGGAGAGAAGAGGAGAGAAGAGGAGAGAAGAGGAGAGAAGAGGAGAGAAGAGGAGAGTCAGGAGAGAAGAGCAGAGAAGAGCAGAGCAGAGCAGAGCAGAGCAAAGCAGAGAAGAGAAGAGAAGAGAAGAGAGGAGAGGAGAGGAAGAAGAGAGAAGAAGAGAGAAGATCAAAGAAGATCAAAGAAGATCAAAGAAGATCAAAGAAGATCAGAGAAGATCAAAGAAGATCAAAGAAGATCAAAGAAGATCAAAGAAGAGAAAGAGTCAGAAGAAAGAGTCAGAAGAAAGAGTCAGAAGAAAGAAGATGCAGGTGCATCTAAAGGTCGCGATTCACCGGGTTTTTCCAATGATTTGGTGCTCCGGAGGGTCGAAAAGTAGGCTCGCTAAAGCGGAGCCATCTGGCCACATGAGAGATGAAAAATTGCACGCCGTTGTGGCGCGAAACACATTTCGAAGTCAAAATGTGCAAAACACACCATTTTCGGACCACTTTTGGAAGTTGAGATGTCGAAAAAGTGCACGCCGTTGTGGCGCAAAGCGCATTTCCAAGTCAAAATGTACAAAGCACAGCAGTTTCGAACCACTTTTGGAAGTTGAGATGGCGGAAAAGTGCACGCCGTTGTGGCACGAAGCAAATTTCCAGGCAAAATGTTAAAAACACCACATGTTTGGACCACTTTTGGACGTTCAGATGTCGTCTCACGTGGCCGGCGCAAGGGATTATGCACCTTGTCAAAAGCGAGCAAAAGGTGATCGTTTTCTAGCATTTCCAAAACCGATGGTGTAAGCGTGGGACATTTGAAGAGGATCTGGAACGACGCATTTCGCGTGGCAGGCGCAATACAAAAGACATGTGCATCAGAGATGTTAGGAGGTCAGGGCCCTTGATGCACAAGAGCTATGGGCTCTCGAAAGCCAGCTGAATCTTTCTGCCGAAATGTTGGCTCACATCCAAACAGTTGTCTTTGGTTTGGCTCTTCTCTTGAAATTCCTAATCCAAGTGCGCTGAGAAGCTTGTGGTATTCATGTATGATCACGGATGGAACGCTCAGTTCAGAAAACTTTTTTTGTGCATGAATGTATAGTATCACGTGTGTTGGCGCGTTCTGATATGTAAAGTGAAAGGATGCTTTTTACCAATCACATGGAGTGTGCAAACAGTTTGTATGAAGAGTGCAGCACAGATTTCTACAATGCCAAGTGCTGCTTCTGGCTCAAGTATCTTGGGTCGCACGCTATGAAAAGATTCCAGTTCCGCTTCATTTCGCGTGGCAGGCGCAGCACTTAAAGCACGTTATGATCAAAAAGTGCCGCGCACCTATGGCGAAACCTGCAATCGTAACGTGCTTCCGTTAAAATATTGCAAATATATTTTCTTTACGCGGGGAAGATGACCTTTCTGGATCGTAACGTCGTGTCCCGTTGTGCTGTGCGAATTTTGGTCGCAAAGTGGGCTAATTTTGTGGCGCAGGGATCCTGCTCGGAATTTCCAAGCGTCTCTGGGGATGTGTCGGTTTCTGGCAAACTGCAAAGGGTAAAACCTAGGAATTAGGTAGCTACTGTTGATAGCTAGGCAGTTCACTAGGTAGAGACGGCATGGCATGACAATAGCTCATGACCGCAGCCCCTTTTGCACAACCGTGCATTCAAGGAAGGAAAAAGGTGCCACTGTGTGGCAGCTTGTCCAACTAGCGGGGTAAGTAACTTGTGAGAGCCCAATACGCTGACCACTACCAGCTTTGCTTTTGCATGGTAGCGGAGCTGCGTGGGTAGCCCCACCGCTCCAGGTCAAAGAGCGGGCAGCTCCGCCGGCCAAGGCCGCGGGCAGCCCCGCCCAAACTGAGGACAAGCCTACGTGGCCAAGGCTGCGTAGGAGAGTCCAAACAAAACGGCTTCTCAGGACAACACCTGGGAATCCCGGAATAGGTCGACCCCTTGGGACGACCGTGACTGGCAAGCTCAGGACTGGGCAAGCCGTGGCTGGGTAGACTACTCCCAGCAAGAACCCAGAGCTCCTGCAACAAGGGACGCAGGGACAACCACTGACAATAGTTGGTGGGGACGAAGCCGACCAGACACGAATCGATCTCGAAGCAGTCGATTCGCCCAAGAAAGGAATCGGCGAGGACATCGCTCAGTGGCCAGGACAGAGGCCAGGATCCAAAGGGGTCAAGAGCGAAGAGCCGCACGGGACGCGGCAGACACAGCAGCAACAACAGCAGGGTCAGGCCAGTCCACGGACGCGCCACCTGCTGAGCCAACACAGGCCGACCCATCGGCCGATCCACCAGCCGATCTTTCGGCTGAGCCAGACCCACCGGCACCAGAGCCGGGGTCAGTGCCATCTTCGGCGCTGGACATCGGGTCAACACCCGACGCACCCGACGTGCCTCAGACCAACCTAAGGGTGGAAGAGGCCAAGAGGGAAGTGCGGGTAGATCCGCCTCCGGGACGCGCTGCACTCGAAGCAGACGAGCGCGCACCGGTGAAGTTGGTCCCACAAGCTGATAGGGCCAGCTCAAGGGCTGCAAGGAAAAGAGCCCGACTTCAGAAGGACTTGGACGAAGCCAAGCAGGCGATTGATTCGTCTGAAGCCCCAAGCCTCTCAATAGAAATCCTGCAAGACGCAGGCATAGAAGTGGTTGACTGGGAAGCTGACATCTCAAGTGAAGAGAGCTTTGAGATCTGCGTTCCAGACCCTGTGTTTCAGGGCAAGGATCCAGCTGACATCCCACAGCCACACGTGGAGTCAGCAAGCAGCTCCAAGGAGCCGCTGCAGAAGTTGGCCGCACCTCCGCTGTACGCGGCGGAAGTCCCCGCGCGTGCGAGCCAGCTCACGCCAACAGTCAAGCAAGAGTTCAACAAAGCTCTTGACTTGTGTGAACAAATACAGGGGGCTTTGAGCCAAAGCCAGACTGAACACCACGAGGTGGTAGACGAGAGACCACCAA